CTCTGACCCCCAGGCAACTTTATTTATTAACATACAAATAAAATCACATTTTGGCACAAATAAAATATCACCATATACTGATGTGGCAACAGTTTGATGTAGGTTTTGAAAGCCACCAATCAAGACACTTTCAAACATCAGATGCATGAGTTAAAGCACAGTGGGGAGCCGGGCGGTGGTGGCACACGCCTTTAATCCCAGCACTGAGAGGCAGAGCCAGGCGGATCTCTGTGAGTTCAAGACCAGCCTGGACTACCAAGTGAGTTTCAGGAAAGGTGCAAAGCTACACAGAGAAACCCTGTCTCGGGAAAAAAAAAAAAAAAAAAAAAAAAAGCACAGTGGGGAAATCTCTGCTGCAAGCCTCAGATACTATCTGATGATATTCTTAGCCTTTTGACTGGTAGAGAGAATGGTTTTATTTAATCTATTTTTTGTGTTTTTACTTTTACTTGTTAGTCACAAAGATGTTAGGTCAGACACAGGGTGGACACATAATGACTATTAAGGAAGGCGACAATGGCCCCAAGGTAAATTGTAGCTAGATTCTCGACCAGCAACATTCCAACTTCTCATAATCAGTTAATCAGCCTTGTAGAAGGTACTTGGAAGGTTTAGCTTCTTTGGTTTTTCTAAATTAGGGTTTTCTAAACCAAGTTGACAAGATTAGCCAGCATTTGGGAGGTGAAGACAGGAAGATCTCTGTGAGTTCAAGGCCAGCATGGTCTACATAGTGAGGTCGAGACGCCTGGGATACATAGTGAGACCCTGTCTCAAAACAAAACAATCAACAAGGATCAATACCAACAACAAATGCCGAACACAACACCAAAGCAAACCAGAATGTCATAGTTTCTCTTCAGTATTTAGGCCACTGATCATTCTGAGTTAGGTTATGTGTAGGGTTAGGGTCTGGGTGACACAGTGGATTCCTCATTTGACTTCAGCTGCTGTAGCACGATCTTGACCAGAGACCCCTGAGCATCATCTACTCCACAGATTCCACTTTAGCCAACAGACACAGGCTGGGGACATTGAGGAGATACCAGGGGGTAATGCAGGGACCTGTCTTTCTTGGTCACTGAGTATCCCACCAACCATGAAATAGTTCACACAATGCCTGTGACAGATGAAGGAGCTGACCCTCTGCCTTACCAGCTGCACTCAGGAAAGCCGGCCCTGCTTCTCACCTGGGCGGCACAGCAGAGCTGGCCCTGAAGGTGTAGGTGTGGGAGAGCTGACCGTGAGGGTGCGAAAGCTGGAGAAGTGGCCCTGCCCCTTGCTAATGGCTGCAAGCAGTAAACTAGCCAGGGTGATGCTGGAGAGCTCACTCTGGTTTGCAGCGGCGAGGGGGGGGGGGGCGAGCTGGTGGGCTGACCAACCCTGCACTACTCAGGCCCAGAACTAGGATTATGAGTTGGCCCACCCCAACATCCACCCCATCTATGACCTGCAGGAGCATGTGAAGGGACGGTCTTTCAGACTCAAAGCTTCAGGTTCTCCATGACACAGATGATGAGGAAATTTCCACTGATCTCCCCGTACAGGTTCTTTATTATTAAGTACAGGTACAGAAAGGCAAACTTTATCCTGATAGTCTGAAGGAATACCAAAAAAGCAATCATTTAAATCTCTCACAATAAGAGGCTAATCTGTAGGAATGACCATGGGTGTGCACAAACCTGGTTGCATGGGCTGCATGTAAGCCTCCATGCTACATGCTGCGGCAATGGCCATCTTTCTGATCTCATTGGTCTGGTGAAAGTAGGAGGATTCCAAGGACTGTTGGAGGGCTCCCTGTGCCCCACGTCCAATTCTTGCTATTCTTCAGCTCTTTAACTATACTGTAGCAATACTTTGAGATATTCCGTCTCCCCCTTTTATTGGCCACTGATTAACCCAAATTGGAGAAATCAGTCGACCGGATGACAGGAAAAGCACACATCTAGGTTGGTGCATTACCAGTGACAGTTTTTATAAATTTGCATGTCCTAAACCAAATTGACCAATTCTAAACAAAAATCTCAAGGGGTGACACTAAACCATCTTTATTTTTTCCCAATTTTAGGGACATAGGTACTTTAATTCTACTAGAAGAAGACCGTAACTTCCATCTGAGACAACAGATCTCATCCTCATATATTCACAGGAATGCCTGTCACAAACAGCTATATAAATTCTGTATATCTTTTATGACCTCTCTATTTTAATATCTCAGAACTCCTTGTTTTTACCCCAGTTGGGAACCTAACCTCCAATCAAAATGGAGGACAGTTTAAGAGTAGGCCATTTTTGTAGCCAAAACATAGAAGCAATAATAGTAACATTAACATTAGTATCAATAAGACCAGAAAAGGTTTTATAATTTAAGAGTAAAAAAGAAGGTTGTTCCCTAGTAATGTGCTGTGACCACATGATATGACATTTTCCTGTATTTCCAACCCCCTGGTATCCTCACTCGAAACTTCTTTGGTTCATGGGATATAAGATTATAATAGCAATTGAGGAATAGAGCGTTTCTTGTCAATAGACAACAGTCCTCTTGAAGACCTAAGTACCTTAATTTCTCCAGGATAATCTTCATCAACTGCACCAGGAGCAGCAATAACTCCCTTCAAATTTAGACCACCTGCCCCCAAACCTGATCCCACTGACCTGGGGAAATAGGTCCCCAAATTCCTGTAGGCACTGCTTGTATGCCCATTGCAATAGTATGAACCACATTCCTAGCTGCTGACGGGTCAAATCCTGCACCTTCTGAGGTTGTGCTGGGAGAGATGAAACACTCCGATGCCCACTGGGTATTGTAACAGGGCAAAGGTTTCTCCACCTTGTCTCAGCTGAAGCCATCTTTGGTTTCTACCCCCTGTTCTGAAAAGTCACGTGGGAAAGCACCCAATCCTGTTCTAGAAACTCAGGGTCGAAATGCCCCAGCTAACTGCATGTTCTTGGCTCTTGTTCAACTGCTTGCTTGCTTCTCCATGCAACTGCCAACCAGGGTGTAGTTTTTCTGTGTTCTTTGTCTTTGCAGACTCCCTGTACTATGCATTTGGGGCTGCTCTGTAAGAAGCCTTTCTCCCCAGGAGTTGCTGGTTGGCCTAATAGAGACTCTCGATTTGGACTTTGGTGGTGCTGAGTAGTTTTTGTGTCCTTACCCTGCAACAGGTATATCCCCGGAGTTGTTGATAACTGCAGTTATTTCCTGGTGTCACAGGAAGACAGGCAAGGGGTTGCCCATCTTTATAAAACTTGTTCTCCACTGATTAGCCAACAAATGCAGAATTTGGCATGTTAAAATTACCATGAGCTTGTCTGGGAGCCACCAAGGATCCCTAAAGTCCTTCTGCAGATGCCCTGGTCTCCCACATCTAAAGTAAACTGGCCTACCTAGCCTCAGTGCTTGCCTGTAATGGACAAAGACTTTGTTTTTGTTGGCTGAGCAACCACCCACCTTTTTTTTTTTTTTTTTTTTTTTTTTTTTTTTTTTTGAACTGCTTTTGTAAGGCAACCGAGAAATCAGCAAAAGATTCTGAAAGGCCCAGGAATATTTTGAGGAAGGTCCGGGTAGGTTTCAGGTAGTTTTTTCCACTCCCACAGTGCAGCCAGTGACCCGTGTTTCTCTCTCAGATGAGGCTGTTGACAACAGGCAGTGGCTGTGGCAGTGGCAGCCATGAGAGACACTTACCAGCAAGAAGCTAAGGAAGGAAAGCATGCACAAGGCTCTTCTCTGGACCCCTCTGTATCGGGGCCACTGCAGGAAGGTGCTGGCCACTCAGTTCGTGGTTCTGGAAATGTCTTCTCAGAGATGTGTCTTAGTTGATTCTAGAGCTTATCAAGTTGACAGTTAAGTTTAACCACCACAGTAGGGTTGGCTGATTTCATATGGTTGGATTTTATGAATTCTTTATGTACTTTAGATAACAGTCCTTCATCAGATAATGTCTTTTGCAATCAGTTTATGGCTTGTTTTTCCTTTGCTCTTGTTAGAGCAGAAAAAAATTAATTTTAAAGAAAGGTAACTTAATCATTTTTTTCATGTACCCTGCCTTTGGTGTTGTATCTAAAAGGTCATCATCAAAACCCTTATGGTCTACATTTCCTCCTGGGTGATCCTTTAAGAATTATATTTGCATTTAAGTCTGTGAGCTGTACTGGATTACCTTTTATGAAGGCTAGGCAGTGTCTTGCTTGTTTGGTTTGCATGTGGGTGTTCAGCTTATCAGCACTGTCCTTTCTCCACTGTACTGGCCTTACTCCTTGCAAAAGATCAGTGGACTGATATCTGTGGGTCTATTTCTGGGCTCTCTGTTCTGCTCCACTCTCTATTTGTCTAGTCGTTCAAATACCATGCTGCCTCAGGCAGTGTGAGTCCTCTGGCTTTATCCCTCATCACTGTGTCAACTATCCTGGGGGCTTTTGCTTCCCCACATAAATTTTAAAATTAGTCTTTCTTCCCCAGACAGAGTCTCTTATCTCAGGCTGGTGTTGGACTCACTATGTAGCCAAGGGTGACCTTGAAATCTTGATTCTCCTGCCTCCACCTGAAAAGTGCTGGGACCAAATGCTGGCTTTGTGTATGCTAGGAAAGCTCCTCTACCAACTGAGACAAATTCCCCACTCTAAATCATCCTGTCCATACTTACAAAATGGCTTGCTAGGTGTGGGATGACTCATCTCTAACAGGTTTGAGGGCCAGCCGGCTGAAACAAGTAAAAAAGATGCTTTCTGAGAGCCAACTTGTGTCTGCCTAAGGGCCTTAGCAACAGCAGCTGAGACATGATATGCGGGGTAGAAGGCATATAAGGCTTGCCTCTTCCTGAATAAACTGAGCTTGTTGTTTGGACATTCTCCCGGGAGTCTGCGCGGCTTGACTCTGCGCCTGCTTGCCCCCCTCCTGCAAAGGGAGCAACAGCACAGGACCCTGCCACAGCTAGGATTCTGATGGTGCTCTGTTGTTGGCTGTATCACAGGCTGGGAAGAGCAGGTATCTCCACAGCTTTGAGTCTTCTGGTGCATAAACTGTGGTCTCTCTTTCCTAAAAGGCCAGGTGAGGGGAGGAGAGAGAGAGGAGCCTTGGGATTTGCATGGCTGGTTTCCAGTTCTCTAGCTCTCAACCAGGTAGTGGAAGCCCGAGAAGGAGTGGCGGGGAGAGAAGTGAAGGGAGATAGTGAGATGTATCAAGGTCCTAAGGCCCCGGGTTTCTGGCCCACAGAGGCCCTGGGGCCCAGGCCTAACATCCGTGGGAGGATGAAAGCAGTTAGCTGACAGGAATTAGAGAGGACAGGTGAGTAGGAACGTGAATTCAAAAACTAATCAAGATACGGGGGAACCAAACTCCTTTCTGCTCTGGGTGACTCTGTGTCACCTGCTAAAACGGGGTCAGCAGAAAGCGAGGCAGTGAAGAGGTGGCCAACAGGCCTGGAAACACCAGCCAGAAGAGGGAACACCATGGTCCTCAACCTTCCTCCCCGCAGGGTCCAGTGTCAGCCCAGAGATCGTATCTGGCAGAGCACAAAGCCTAGGTCTTGGGACAGGACCATGGGGCTGGAGACGCGGAGGGGTGCATCGGAGTCCTGGAAAGTGGAGTGGCAGGGTGTAACAGGTCGCTAGTGTTAACGGCCTTGCAGGGGGCCGGGGGTCTCTAGTCAGGAACTGTTCAGGATGCTCTGGGGTAGGATCAATGGGAGGGGCACCAGCGTGTTTGTCCCTAGGTCGAGCGTGTGCCCCAGGCTAATGGTCTGGACGACACAGGCCGGGAGGGGCGGGGCTTATCGGCCCCAGCCCAGCCTTTGGGCGGGTGACCTTGGCTTCTGTCCGCGGAACTGTTGTCCTTAGGAAGTTCGGGAAGTAGGAGGGTCTGTGTTCCCGGACGTGTTCCTCCCTGCCAGCATCCTTGGGCGGGCGTTGATCGCTGATGCTGCGGTAGTGGGCGGCGAGAGCCGGAGCGGGAGCAGGTGCGGCGGATCGATGGCCAAGCTGCGGTTGGGTGAGTGACCTCAGCAGGACAGCCATAAGCAGCGCGGGCTCTGACGCCGCCGCCGGGTTAGCGTCTGAGGCCTCCTCTCCACACTCCCCTCCCTTTTCTAGTCCCACCTGGGCGGGAGCGCAGTCACAGGTAGCCTCCTGGAAAAGCTTCTGGAGTCCACAGGGAAATGGGAGCTAAGAACAGAAGAAGAGAGGACACAGGGGATCCCTGCAGTTGGGGTGAGTATCCACCTCTGCCCGAGGTGCATCAGGCTTTTCATTAAACTTTTTATCTCCTTGAGCACTGGACTTAGCTCCATTACACCTCTGGTGCTCCTTTTCTTCTCACACTGGACATTTTGTAGTTTTCTTTGTCCAGCTTGTTCCTTTTCATGACAGGTCTGCTTAAGTGACTACTGAGAACAACAATGTTATTAGCCCTGTCAGGAGCAGGCTGTCTTTACATCCTCGCTTCTACACCATTAATCCAAAACTCTTTACTTTAGCCTCGGGCATATTTTTTGGACAAGGGCAGAAAGCAGCCGACTTCTTTGCCAAATTATCACAAGAAGGATCCTTAGGCCATTGATATTCTTCCCCTCTGAAACCTGAGCTGGGCCCTCATAATTTACTGGCTTAAAGAGTTCAACCACTTTTCTAGTCCAGGGTCGACAGCAAGCCACAGCAAGACCCCACTCCTTGGTGTTGCTGTGCCCAGGTCGCAAGACCCCCAAGCAAGACCACCACAGAGCCATTATCTGATGCGCACACACAGAGGTTCTTAGTAACAAAACAGGCAAGCTTGGACCGCAGTCCAACATCCGACACAGCGGGTGGAGGAGAATGGTCCCGAGCACTCACTTTAAGGGGTTTATATAGGAAAAGTTTACATGCAGCTTGGGATTGGATGAGGGGGCTAGGGGTGAGGTAGGCATAAGGTTACTATTTGCTGACAGGATTCAGGATATCTATAGAGACATACATTTTTATTCCCTATGTCCTGCTTTTGTTGACACATTCAGATTTATTGTTGCAGTCCTACACTTCTGTAAGGTCAACGTCTGGTCACTTGAGTCCATTACTCCCCATATCTTGCTTTGCCAAGTCCAGGATACATAGAGTTATTGTCCCAGCCTAAGTTCAACTTCTGATCACTTCTAAAACTGCTGGTCAGCAAATACCTTTGGAGGAGGGGAGGGGGAAGCGTCTCTCAAGATGGTACTGATTTTTTCTTTCAGTATCAACTTCTGTCTTACTGTTCTATTGCTGTGAAGAGACACCGTGACCACAGCAACTCTTATAAAAGAAAGCGTTTCACTGGGGACTTGCTTACAGTTTCCGAGCCTTATCGGCAGTCCATTATCATCACAGTGGCATACACAGCAAACATTAGAACAGATGCTGCGAGCTGCATCCTGACGCCCAGGCAGCTGGCAGAGTGTGAGAGAGAGAGACTGGGCTAGGCTGGCAGAGTGTGAGAGAGAGACTGGGCTAGGCGTGGGCTTTTGAAACAAAGTTAAAAAAAAAAAAGGGACTGGTCTTCCTCCAACAAAGCCACACCTCGTGATCTTTCTCAAGTAGTGCCACTCCATGGCGACAATGCATTCAAGTATGAGCCTGTAGGGGCCATTCTTATTCAAATGGCTGCAGTTCAGTTTCCCAGGTATGATTTTAATATGGCCATATGTCCCTATAGTCTCAACTCATCCCTATGTCCTTGTTGAGTGTCAGTGCGGTGGATTTAGGGTAGAACCAAAGCTCCAGAGACTGGTCACAGAGGCTGGAAATGGACCCACTTGTGTGGAGTTAAGTGGCTTTTTTGTTTGTTTTTGTTTTGGGGCCAGGTTTCTTTGTGTAGCCTTGGGTGTCCTGTAGACCAGGTTGGCCTCAAACTTACAGAGATCTGCCTGCCTCTGTCTCCTGAGTGCTGGGATTAAAAGTGTGTGCTGCCACCACCTGGCTAGATAAGTGTTTTTAAAAAATGATTTAATTTTACTGTTTTAAAATTATGTGAATGATCCAAAGGGGGGGAAAAAAAAAGCTGGGCGGTGGTGGCGGATGCCTTTAATCCCAGCACTCAGGAGGCAGAGGCAGGCGGATCTCTGTGAGTTCGAGGCCAGCCTGGGCTACCAAGTGAGTTCCAGGAAAAGGCG